GGGCAGTAAGCTAATATATATATATGTTGAATTCTGATTTGGGATCCATAGAATGAAGCAACTCCTCTGATTGTCCAACAGATACATTCCTAGGGATTAAAGCAAAGAAACAGTGAAAGTATATAGCAATAAAGATTGTCTCCTTTGTGTCTTAAGGCAGGCACTGGTCCCTGGGAAAGGGAGGTGGGAGGAGGCCATATCTTATACTAACATGTTCCAACCTCTCATAAACTCAAGATTGGAGATGTGGGAAGAACATCTCCCTACAAAAGAAACTAACACAACAGACACAGGGCTTCTGTGTTCAATTTGCAACTCTGAATAAGACACAATTATTCAGTTATTGCTCCAACATCTGGCAATTTTGCTGACCAGGCTTATCTTAGCAAATGCAAGGTTATCTTTTGGGTATTCTGCTTTTTCTGAGCTAATCACCATTCACTAGGCCTCTGGTCTCTTGACCAAACTCTGGACTTTGGGCCTGGAAAAGAGCTGGCACAATTCATATACCAAGTTATTCTCTAAGCTGCACATGGATTTTAACCCTTCATCTCTCCACACCTGCACCACTTTCCCCGTGGATATATCTGCAGTGTGAGTTATTAATTAATCAGTATTACACAGAGGAATCACCTTCCCCTTTGCTCATCCCTGTGACAGCTCATTTCTATTCAGTGCTTCTGTGCACTGGTTATGTTTCTCGGAGATGCCCAATGCATTTCTCAGCAGCCACTGTTGGAGGTTACGATTCACACAGCCAGTTAACCTCTTTCCTAAGACACATTGCACTCAAGGGAAAGGGCGTCAAGGGGACCTCCCCATACCATCCCAGACCTCATGGAGATCTGTCCACTCCACCAGCCAATACTCCCTACCTACACGGCTCCCTGTCACCTTATACCCGCTGGGTGCAACCCGCATGCAAATCCCTCCTCACAGGGTTGCTGGTTAAATACAAACCCCTGGTTCTAGGAGCCTCAGTCTCTCCCCAGACACAGAACTGCCTGATCCTGCCTGCTGGGGAGTTTCCCCCATTGCATGAAAATGAGAATGAAATCTCTGTTGCTTTTCCTTTCTCTGTTCTCTGTCCCATCCTGTAAGTGTCTATGGGGCAGTGGGGGGCGGGGTCTGGTAACAGATCTGTGGAGTCTCTCTGGGCTAATGCTTTTCTTGCTTTCTTTCCCTTTTCCCAGGTGTCCTCTCCCAGGTGCAGCTGGTCCAGTCTGGCCCGTGGACGGCAAAGCCCAGAGAGACCCTCACCCTGACCTGCACTGTCTCTGGGTTCTCCGTCACTACTCGGTATTACACCTGGAACTGGATCCGGCAGTCCCCCGGGAAAGGGCTGGAGTGGATGGGGTATGTGTACCCATATAGTAGCGGGGATACAGGCTATGCTCCGTCTCTCAAGGCCGAATCACCGTCTCTGCAGACACCGCCAAGAACCAGGTCTCCCTGCAGCTCTGCTCGCTGACAGCTGCAGACTCCGCCACCTATTACTGCGCCAGGAGAGACACCGTGACACGGAGCAGAGCGGGACTGGCACAAAAAGGGGAAGCGGTTTCTAAATAGCCCAGGGAGGCCACAGTCAGAGGGATAGTGGAGCCCTGCAGAGAAAGAGACACACATGGCAAACTCACTATGAAAAACATACATCCAAATAGTTGGGATTTTTTTTTAACTCTGTAGAATTTAGCCAGTTTCTCTGGACACGCCTGGCCTTTGAGCTGCCACAGAAATCATGGGAAACTAGGGTGACCAGACAGCAAGTGTGAAAAAGCCCCAAATATCAGGACTGTCCCTATAAAATCAGGACATCTGGTCACCCTATGGGAAACTCACTGATAAAACTCAGGTGTTTCCTTCCTTCCGAATGGCTGTTGGAGCAGGCAGGGAAAGATTCACGGAATTAAGAGCTATTAAATAATGGCACCGTGTGTCTGTGTCCCAGTGTGTGTCAGATGCGCACTGGGAAGGTTGCGGTCTTTGCCTTTGGAAGAGAGTGACGGGTGTGTGCGCACACTCACGGAGAGGGAGGGAGGGAGGGAGAACAACTCTGATTTTCTCCATTAGGAGGCAGTAGTCCGACACACCCCTACACACAGAGCGAGAGAGAGACAGACACAGAGAGAGAGAGAGAGAGAAGTTCATGGAGCACAGGTCTATCAATGGCTACCAGCCAAGGTGGGCAGGGATGCGACCCCATGCTCTGGGTGTCCTTAGACCTCTGACTACCAGAAACTGGGACTGGATAAGGGGGGATGGATCACTCAGTGGTTGTCTGATCTGTTCATTCCCTTTGAAGCACCTGGCATTGGCCCCTGTCCGCAGACAGGACACTGGGCTAGATGCACCTTTGGTCTGACCCAATGTGACCGCTCTTACGTTCTCATGGGGAGAACCTCACACTGATCTGTGCTGTGTCGGATTCCTCCTTAAGACCAGATTTTTAACGTTAT